TTATGAGTTATATTTCCATTTCAGTTCGTTCTTTTCTTCAGTTATGAAGATTTGTTTACCCTTAAAAAAATCATATTTTCCTCGGGCTTTACCCTCGGAACATGTAGTTTTAACTATAGTACAATACAACCCATTATCCGAAATACTATATAAATGTTCGCAATTACTGAAATCAAGTAAAAACAAAGTATATATATATAGATTTTACTTAAGAACTCAGAAAGTTAATACTGGTGCGGGTAATCATTTAAAACCGATACCTCTTAATTCTAAATGTCCGATAACTTTTGTTTGTGTTGGGTTGCTATCGAAACGATGTATAAACCCCTTTATTCGTTCTATCGATACTCTACTTAAGGATGGATTTCATGTAGCAGCGTCATGCATAGTACAGGAAGAAATATTTGTAATGAACCAACCATTCATTTTGTGTAAGCAGAGCATTTTTTTTTCTAGAAACAAAAGTAATTTCCTCAAGCAGTTTAGAATAAATAAGGAGTTTCGTAGACATTAGTGTTGTTCATATTTTTTAAAACTAATTTGCAAAAGAAACAAATAGTTCTTTTCACTCTCTTTTTAAACAAATCAACTGTTTTTCAATGGTCGGTGCCAAACGGCATTTATAAATTCTGTCAATATTCTTGCAAGAAAGAAAGCCATGAAAAAGAGAAACAGTTTCTTAGAAATACTTCCAGGCTCAATTTTCGAATTTTCTTTTGTAAAGTGGTTTAAGGCAAAACAGTTATCTCCTCCTGAATAATGTATTTTTACCTATCAAGCATTTGGGATTACATGTAATAACAAATCTATGGTAGTCTCTTTTACTTTATTTACAACTAAATTCGACTAAAGGCCTTAATGAACATGACATATTGACTGTAATGACAATTGTGTATTGCTGACAAATGTAAAATATTGATCACAAGATTTTCTTGGTTTATTTTAGTTGTTGGGTTACTATATAGAGCATGTGGAATTCCACATAAATATTGAAACAAGACCAATACCAGGTTTTGACCTTTGTCGACCCATGTATTGATTGAGGTTGCATGTATACTGAAGTACAACTGATCATTCCCTTTCAAACTATCGGCAAACAGGAAGGGACTGGATGGAAAATGTAGAAATTGCTTACATGCTACAACTTATCATTACCAAGCTGCAGACTACATATAAAATCATTCCCTTCAATAGAAGTCAAGAAAACTTTGACAAAAGTTTTCTACCCAAGGTCTTTCCAATGGACGGACGGACGGACATAGTGAAGTTTCTATGTTCTAGCCTTCAGTGGTGCAGGTAAAAATAAAAGAAAAATCTGTCTGTGGACATGCATGCCTCAAACAAACGAAAATGGGACGGATTGACAGATGGAATGAAAGAAGGAAGAGGAAAGACAGAAGGACAGACAGTCAAGGATAACACTTAATGCCCCTGTCGCCTACGGCTTATGTTACTTTGAAATTTTCTAGATCTAGCAAATCAAATATACAGAAAATATTAGTACAAATGTATAGAATACACAAAAATATCGTATAAAATCAGTAATTTGGACTTATAATTATGCATAATTATATGTTGCATAATTATATGTTATTGATATACAACTTATACAGGGTAACTGGATTTGTTTTTTGAGTAGGAAAAGTTGAATCTTCTATAAAGAGTGAAAACAAGAAAGCACAAGCTAAAATACCTCGCCTGCTTTACTTATCATGATTGAATTTATGCTGAAAGTGCGTAATAAAAAGGATATATCATGAATTTCAAATAAAATTAACATTAGGGAGCTACCATTTGATTTTTATGGGGGGCTAGGATGAAAAATTTTGTCCTGCATTTTTTTTAGTTGTAATCTCTGTCCTGCCTTTTTATTTTTCACTCTATTCGGTCCTGCATTTTTTTTTATTAGTTTATCCTGACTTTTTTTACATAAATTGTCATCCTGCCTTTTTTTTTTGCCAAGTTGCTTATCCTGCCTTTTTTTTTTACTCAAAAGTCCTGTTCTGTCTTTTTTTTCAAATTTCATCCTTGCCCCCATAAAAATCAAATGGTAGCTCCCTTATCAATATCATTGTACATGAGGTCAAGGTCAGACATGTACACCTTACAAACATACCATACACTGAATATAGTCGACCTGTTGCTTATGGTATCCCAAGAAACAGACCTAATTACTAAAATTGAACATTGAAAAATGAACCATTAAAATCAGGTCAAGGTTAAATGAACAATGCCAGACAAACATGAACACCATGCAATAATTCCAATTGCTCATATTATCTGAAAATAAGACAAAAGTCAGAAAAAATTAACATTCACCAATGAACCATGAAAACAAGGTCAAGGTCAGATAAAATTTGCCAGTCAGACATGTAGACTTTACAATCATTCCATACACCAAATACAGTTGACCTATTGCTAAGAGTATCTGAGATATGGACCACATAAACTGCTTTGTATTGATCTGATGAGTTAAGCCTTTTTCAACTGATTTTTATAGTTTGTTCTTATTTTGTGCTGTAACACCACTGTCCCAGGTTAGGTTAGGGTTGAGTGCTCACAAACATGTATAACTATTCTTTATGTTCCTGTCACAAGTCAGGGCCCATAGTTCGTTAGTTGTTGTTCATGGTTCGTGTCTGTCATATTTGTTTTTCGTAAATTTTTTTGTTATAAATTAGAACGTTAGTTTTCTCAATTGAATTGTTTCATATTTTTTATGTCGGGCCTTTTATAACCGACTTTATGGTATGGGTTTTTCTCATTGTTGTAGGCGGTATGGTTGCCTATAATTGCTTACATTCACTTCATTTGAACTTTGTGGATAGTTGTCTCATTGGCAATCATACCACATCTACTTATTTGTATATCAAGCTTCAGCATGACCATCTCGGTTCGGAGTACCATGGCAGTTCAGAGTCCTACATATATACTGTTTTAATAGTAAACATTTTTAGCAGTGAACAAAAATTGCTTATAAGTAATTTTCCTTACATATAATTGTCAATTCTTAATAGTTATATATATCTAAAAAATCAAATTGAATTCTTTGACTTTATGTTAACAGTTTGACCAATCTAGATAGAATGTCATACTAATAGATTTTTAGGAGGGTTATTGAGAAAAGCTTTTCACCTTTGTCTAATGTGTCTTCATGAACACTTGTCTTAGAGTTTCTGAAACAATACTTTCTCAGATTTTTACACTTTATAATAAGTCTCAAACAAGTGAACTTATAAATTAAAATGCTATGTATTATTTTTATAAATATCTTTAATGTATTGCATTTGTGATTAATCACTGAATCCTCTTTACAATTCAGGCCAGTATTTCATATTACCCAGTATTACCCGGTAAAACCCAGTACAAAACCCGGGTTTTCCCAGTATTCCACTGGGTTGGGTAATACTCATAAAACCCAGGTTTTTGCCAACTCTGATGAAATGAGGTTGAGGTCAGGTGAACCCTGTCCGACAGACATGTAGACCTTGCAAGGAACCCATATACCAAATATAGTTATCCCATTACTCATAATAAGAAAGAAATCACTATGACAAAAAAAAAAACCCTTTTTCCAAGCAGTTGCTAATGTCAAGGACAATGGACATATGACAGACGGAAACTTTGTGACATAAGGACTTAGGTATCTGCAAACAAGGTATAAAGCATTCAGGTCTTCCAAAAATATAAAGCTTTAAACAAATAATTTACCCTGCCGCTGTGGGATTGTAATCCCCGTGTCTTGCAGGCCAAAAAAAAACAACTGAAACAGCAAACAATTTGTGCCATGTCTTCCTGTGCATTGAAATCTTATTCGCCAATGTTTTTAGATATTACAAAGACACTTATATGATTTATACAGCAGAAATGAATTCCATGACCCCCTGTGTTTTTCATATCAATAAAACAGAAATTGTGGTCGCATTAACATATCATTTTAAAAGAAAAGACAACTTAAAGTCAAATAGCTCAATACTTTTCTCGATATTTATGTGCATCCTATACATTTGTACTTACAATTTATCATATCTCTAAAGTAAATCAACAGCTGTGCCACGAGTGCATGATACGCCCGTCTCTTTTTCAAAGAATAAAGTTCAATAACTTCTCAATGTCATATCAGAAATTTAAAAAAAACTAAAGGGAGGTTATCTTAATAGATATAAACCAGTCAGCAAAGTTTCATGAAAACTGCTCAAAGCACTTTAAAGATATTGTCTGAAAACTGGAAAATCCCCCCTTTTTATGAATAAAACCCCATAACTAAGAAACGTAAAATCAAAAATTTATAAAAATTGAAAGGGAGCTCATGTCAATAGATATACACAATTCATCAAAGTTTCTTGCAAATTGGTGAAAGTGTTTTTGAGTTATTGTCTGAAAACTGGAAAATCCCCCTTTTTTAATGAATAAAACCCCCATAACTCGGAAACGTAAAATCTAAAATTTATAAAAAATGAAAGGGAGCTCACGTCAATAGATATAAACAATTCACCAAAGTTTCATGCAAATTGGTCTAAGTGTTTTGGAGTTATTGTCCGACATGTGGACGACGGACGGACAGACGGACAACGGTATACCATAATACGTCCCGTAAATTGGGTATAAAAAGCTACAAATACATTTTTGCATATGCAGTTCAACATGCTTTAGTTGATTGAAAAATCTCATAAATATCAGTGAGATTGCCAATTGTACTTGGTACTTTAAAGCAATTCATACAGATGTAACTATTACTAGCAAAAAGTAGAATGCAACTTTTATTACTAAGATGTCAGTTTTTCCCCCATTTAGACAAACATCACTTCAATTTCTAACTTTTCAATGAAAATGCTTGATAACAATATGCAAGTTTCTTCCATAATGAGAAAAAATCTCTTTATATTGATATAAAAATCAGAAAGCTTGAAGAAACTGATTTAGTCTGTAGCAGTTTCACAGAAACAAGAACTATATGATAGTTCTTTCAAACATTTAAAACCAATTATTTAAATACGAACCTGAGGCAAATTGTTACTAAAAATATCTGTATCACAAGCACAGGAAACGCAAAACTCTCTCTAAGTGGTGGAGTCCACATAACTCTGGTAGCCTACAAAATAATCCTCCTTTATGGTTTACACTTTCACATATATGTTGTGAACCTATATACTTACTCAAATTCTCAAAGTAAATTATTTAAATATAAAATATCTATCCAAAATGTTTCCATCCCCTGAAAGGTAATCAAATAAACAAAAGGCTCTCCAGAGTCTGAATCCTCCACCTGGTAAAATATAAGGCATTTTCATATATATTTTTTCCTTTATTGAAATCAGTTATGAATCTGATGTTCAGTAGTTGTCGTTTGTTGATGTGGTTCATAAGTGTTTCTCGTTTCTCGTTTTTTATATAGATTAGACCGTTGGTTTTCCCATTTGAATGGTTTTACACTAGTCATTTTTGGGGCCCTTTATAGCTTGCTGTTCGGTGTGAGCCAAGGCTCCATGTTGAAGACCGTACTTTGACCTATAATGGTTTACTTTTATAAATTTTGACTTGGATGGAGAGTTGTCTCATTGGCACTCATACCACATCTTCTTATATCTATGTTACCTTATTTGTAAATCCTATTTAATAGCATTTTTGTACCTGTCTTATATTGATGATCATTTTTATTGTTTACAGTTTATACCTATCTATTAAAGTTTTTGAGAAATCAACATTTAATGCAATAAATCCTATAACTAGTGTGACAATTTGGCAATGTTGACTTATGGTAGATCTTTGAAACTAGAGGCTCTAAAGAGCCTGTGTCGCTCACCTTGGTCTATGTGCATATTAAGCAAAGGACACAGATGGATTCATGTCAAAATTGTGTTTTGGTGATGGTGATGTGTTTGTAGATCTTACTTTACTAAACATTCTTGCTGCTTGCAATTATCTCTATCTATAATGAACTTGGCCCAGGAGTTACAGTGGAAAATATTTTGTAAAAATTTACAAAATTTATGAAAATTTTAAAAAATTGACTATAAAGGGCAATAACTCCTTAAGGGGTCAATTGACCATTTTGGTCAAGTTGACTTATTTGTAGATCTTACTTTGCTGTACATTATTGCTGTTTACAGTTTATCTCTATCTATAATAATATTCAAGATAATAACCAAAAACGGCAAAATTTCCTTAAAATAACCAATTCAGGGGCAGCAACCCAACAACAGGTTGTCCGATTCATCTGAAAATTTCAGGGCAGATAGATCTTGACCTGATTAACAATTTTACCCCCATGTCAGATTTGCTCTATATGCTTTGGTTTCGGAGATATAAGCCAATAACTGCATTTTACCCTATGTACTATTTTTTAGCTATGTCGGCCATCTTGGTTCGCGGGCCGGGTCATTGGACACATTTTTCAAACTAGATACCCTAATGATGATTGTGGACAAGTTTGGCTAAATTTGTCTTAGTAGTTTCAGAGAAGATTTTTGTAAAAGATTACAAAAATTTACGAAAAATGGTTAAAAATTGACTATAAAGGGCAATAACTCCTTAAGGGGTCAACTGACCATTTTGGTCATGTTGACTTATTTGTAGATCTTACTTTGCTGTACATTATTGCTGTTTACAGTTTATCTCTATCTATAATAATATTCAAGATAATAACCAAAATCGGCAAAATTTCCTTAAAATAACCAATTCAGGGGCAGCAACCCAACAACGGGTTGTCTGATTCATCTGAAAATTTCAGGGCAGATAGATCTTGACCTGATTAACAATTTTACCCCATGTCAGATTTGTTCTAAATGCTTTGGTTTCAGAGATATAAGCCAAAATCTACATTTTACCCCTATGTTCTATTTTTAGCCACGGATGCCATCTTGGTTGGTTGGCCGGGTCACCGGACACATTTTTTAAACTAGATACCCTAATGATGATTGTGGACAAGTTTGGTTAAATTTGTCTTAGTAGTTTCAGAGGAGAAGATTTTTGTAAAAGATTACAAAAATTTACGAAAAATGGTTAAAAATTGACTATAAAGAGCAATAACTCCTTAAGGGGTCATTTGACCATTTTGGTCATGTAGACTCATTTGTAGATCTTACTTTGCTGAACATTATTGCTGTTTACAGTTTATCTCTATCTATAATAATATTCAAGATAATAACCAAAAACGGCAAAATTTCCTTAAAATAACCAATTCAGGGGCAGCAACCCAACAACGGGTTGTCTGATTCATCTGAAAATTTCAGGGCAGATAGATCTTGACCTGATTAACAATTTTACCCCATGTCAGATTTGCTCTAAATGCTTTGGTTTCAGAGATATAAGCCAAAATCTACATTTTACCCCTATGTCCTATTTTTAGCCACGGATGCCATCTTGTTTGGTTGGCCGCGTCACCGGACACATTTTTTAAACTAGATACCCTAATGATGATTGTGGACAAGTTTGGTTAAAAACGACGACGACTACGGACAACGGACGCCAAGTGATGAGAAAAGCTCACTTGGCCCTCTGGGGCAGGTGAGCTAAAAATGAAAAAACTGTCTTTCAAGGGCAATAACTTCTATAAGGGATCAATTGACAAATTCGCTCCTTAAAATATTGGTAAATCTTACTTTGGTGAACATTTTTGCTGTTTAAAATTTCTATTTATCTATAAAAGTTGTCAAGATAATCAGGGTTTAAGCTAGGATTTTTAGGGCTTTAGTCACTTTTGCCCGAGATGAAAATCAACATTATTTTTGGGTAACAGCAAGGGACCAAGGATGTATGTATATTACTAACTATAATACATCTTTGTCAGACTTTGAAGGACTAAGGCATAAATTTACTAGGCAGTAATTGCATGACTTGACTGATTTGTCACTTAAATATGAAGATTAGGATATAAGATCTGAAAATCTAGTTCAAAATTAGTTTCAGGGGACATTCCTGATGAACAAAAGTTGGGTTCCTTTTTTTAAAACAAGAAATCACAGTATACATGAACTTGTTGAACTTCGTAAGACTTTATTACACTGCATAATCATTATCCTTATAAGACATTAAAATCGATATTTTGAATTAATTTCTATAAAGTTGGAACCAAGGATTTGTACAAATTCACATGGAACGATTCCAATAACTGTAAGATGTAAATTAATCAAGAATTGATCACGTTTACTTTCGATTTTCAAATGAATGTAAACGGGAAGTGACAAGTAGACAATAAATTCAGAATGAATCCGGATTCATCTCCGGATTGGTTCGTGTTTAAAAAAAGCCAGGAAATTATCATTTTCTTATTTCAATTTGCTAAGTAAGAACTATATTTGTCTCTCTCATTTATTTTGGCACTAAATTTATTTCGAAAACGTATTTTACGTTTTAGTGTCTATAAATTCATAGGAATACTTTCACGCATGCGCAGTATATCGTAAAGGAAGCACCTGTTTGACTCCAGGTTGATGATGATGGAAGTTTTTAACCTGAAAACATTTCTGAACGTTTTGAATAAAGTTCTATCTTTTTAATCGAAATTGAACGTTTTATATCAAAGATGACGAAAATACGATCATTTGACGAAACTACCGGTACGACAAACGAACTGCAAATTATGATCGTTTTAGAAATATTGAAATTAAAAAGCGAACTGTCCGGGGGGAAACAATTTTGTTCAAATGACGAAACTACGACAAGCGAACTGCAAATTGTGGTCGTTGGCCTTGAAAAATATTGAAATTAAAATGCAGACTGACTAATTTTACTGGGGAAAATGATTAACCGGATTAGTGACCCATCCGATGCCGATGGCGAAAAGCGGATTAGCTGTAATCACAACTTTATAACACCTGTTGTAAATGTTAATTAGCTGGGATCATAAACTTGTCAGAAACATGTAGACAGGTAGAATTATAGTATTTTCATGCGAAAATATTTTTACACTTTCCAAATTTAAGTGACGAAATTGATTTGAAATACTTTCGTCATTTTGAAAACAGTTTCGTAAATTACGAAAGTGACGAGCGCTAGCAAAATCACTGAAGATAATAACCAACAAAAAGAAGAAATACTAAAATCTTGAAAATTGAACTAGACCTTCATTAAGTCCCAGGAAACAACATATTTAAAATTTGAAAAAAATTTGTTAAAGCTTTTTCATGTTAATGTGGCGACACTGTTTGGCAGCCGTCCGCCCGCCCGCCCGCCATACATCCCCAATTTAATAACCGATATTTCCTTCGAAAATCCCGGTTAAAAAATGTGAAATTTCAAAAAAAAAAAATTTTAGGGGCAATAACCTCGAATTGGGTTTTCCAATTGGTCTAAAATTTTGTAGCTAACAGCTACCCTGGTGATCAGCTTTATGCCTATCAGTCTTGCTCTAACTGCTTTAGTTTTTAAGATATAAGCAAAATACTGCATTTTTACTCCTGTTTTATTTTTAGCCATGTTTTTGTTAACTGACCCGAATAAAAAAGAAAAACTTTATACTAGTTACCATAAGGATCATTCACCACAAGTTTGGTTGAAATTGGTTCAAGTTTCAGGAAACGATCATTGTTTAAGTTAACAATGACAACGACAACGAACACCAAGTGATGGCAATAGCTCACATGGTCCTTTGGGCCAGGTCTAAAAATCCTGTCTTCAGTTACAGGAGGGTATTATAATACATATCTCCTTTACAAATTATATGTCTAAGGGTAAAAAAGAGTGTATAATACACGCCCAAATATGGTAGTTTCTGCAAAAAACGCAAAAAATGAGTAAACTTAAGTCTTTAAATGGCAATAACTCCTATAAGAGGTCAATTGACAATTCGTCCATGTTGACTTATTTGTAGATCATATTTTGCCGAAAATTTATACTATCAAAAGAATCTCTCTGTCATATATAGTTTTCTGAAAATTCTGCAGGCGACTGACCTTGACCAGCTGATCAATTCCACCCATGTCAGATTTCTCTTTCTGCTTTAGTTTTTGAGATAATAGCCAAAAACTTCGAAATTTACTAAAAAATTTACATTGTAGGGACAATAACTCCAAATCAGTTTGGTCCATTTTTTTGAAAATTCCACAGTAATTAGACCTTGACCTGTTGTTAATTTTTACTCATGTAAGATTT